CAAAATCCTTTCTGTTTTGCGCACAGTTAGAAACAAATCAAGAACACCTAACAAATAACTGTTGGGACAGTAATAAGGCCCTTAATAATTTTGTGGAAACCGTATACTTTTAGAAACATACAGTCCAAGAAGTTTTAGTCGGATTGTAAAATTCAATTTAAAGATAAGCATGGGGAAATTACAGTCACCGAAGAACAGTACAATGCGTCAGATGAATTAGTTTCAATACTTAAGTTAGTTATTTAAATCCAGTTCTATACAACTATCTAGTAATATATTTATGTTTGAGTCACAGGAACTTATGTGAGGTCAGGGGCAGAGGACAACCAGGGTGTGGCTGCTCAATTCAAACGGGTATGGACAAGATACTTTCTTTTTTTCTTTAGATTAAACGGTCTTTCAGACTTGATTTTCGACTATTTTGTATACGAATTCAAATACAGGCTCGAGAAACTCAGAATCAGATGGCGTGTTTTATATGTCTTCTCTTTTCCTCCATATTATGTATACATGAGTTAAAACGTGTGGAACTTGTTGGAAACAATTACATTTCCATTCCTCGTAGGACAACATTCATCTACGCATGAAAAGGCATGAACTTGAACAATACTTCGGTGCAAGCTCACCTGAGGAAGGTAACTATAATGTGACTTTAAGCAGTGCTCATCGTGCAGTGCTGTGTAGTGTAGCACGGCGTGGCTTAGTGTAAGACAGTGTCATTTATATGCGTGACGTTTTTTCACACAGTACCAGAATACGAAGTCATTTCTCCCATTCAAGTTGACAAAGCCAACAGGTTTCTTTCGCACAATCTTAACATTCACGCGAGGCAGAAAAGACACGCAGAAGAACCACATGTCTGGTACTATAATGTCAAAGCTTTTGGTATGTCACTGCATCTAAACCTTACTAAGAACGAAGAACTCATGTCACCATGGCTGACTGTTGAGCGACACGAGAATGGAACAGTTACTAGCGAGGATCCACCGCACAATACCTTCTTCAATGGTCACGTGAATTCGCAACCTGGGTCTTCGGTTGCCGTTGGTAATAAAAACGGACTGGTGAGTCACGGGTAAAATAAGATTTTCCGTGAAACAGGCGCCATATCGTTATATTCAAACTAAGTTTTCACAACTTTTCACCCTCGGAACCCACCGAATTAGACCAGTAGACCAAAAATATTGACGTGCCCTTTTGTGTATTTTTGTAAGCGTGCTGACCGAAACTGTTAAGAGCGCGTGATAGCACGTGCACGTGAATTCGAACACGTTCAAGTAAACTCCACTCGAAAAGAATTCTCGTGCACGTGATACTTTTTTTGAACAAGAATTTTTGTCTTTACTGTTTGCTGCTAGTTAGTTCACGAAGAAAGCTTGTTGTAAACTTGTTCAGAGAATTTTGAGGTGAACGTAGACGTGGTGCGTAGAAAAACGCATCTTGAGCCTAAAATGATAAGTCCCTGTGAACTCTTAGGCGAAAGATTCGAAAAGGACAAGAAATAAAACGTGGAGTTTTACAACTAGGGATGATCAACACCAAGTTAGGCGACTAAGAGGGGTATGTCTTCGTATCCAAGTAATCATTGATCACTTGGACAAGAAGACAAGTAAATTTTTAATGTTTTAGATTTTATAACTTGTAAATGACGTAAATCTTTGTATTTTAGGAATACACGTACGAATTTTGAACGAGCTTTTATAGCTCTTAGACGTGACGTGTTCAAATAAAGGATTGTTTTTGTATTGTTGATGACGGACATGTTATTTTTGTCCCTTCAGATGGGGATGATTCAACTGATGGACCAGACGCTCTTCCTTCAGCCACTCGCCAGCCATCTTGTATGTGACAGCAATGTTAAAGTAAACAACCACTTAATATACAGACGTTCAGTTGGCGAGAACACAGAAAACCAATATGAAGGTATTGAAATGAAAAACAAGTGACTTTTATAAAGGCTGGGTTAAAGTTCAGGATAGATCGGATTTTGAAAATTCTAACATGGTGTCGAGGTGTAAGGTACCAAAACGAAAGAAGCCACATTGAGGTGAAGGGATGATACAATAAATCCTTTTAAATCATTGAAGTGTACTTAACTGACTACCAAAGGACATACATGTACGTGTCCAGTTACAAGCAGTCAGCTACTAAAACGTTGCGAATGAGCAGCTGTAACTGGGTACTGCTGTGATCGCGCTCCACTTACCGAGCCAAGCGAGGCGAGCCAATCAGAATCAATAATGTTCTGATTGATATGACTAGCGAAAGGATAGAGCCTTTGTTTATTACAAGACTTTAGATAAGAGGGCCAATAACTAAGATCAACCAATAAGATCAGTTGTTCAAATTCCGGTCCAATATTCTCTAAGTATGGACCGGGCAGGCACTGTCCCGAATGACCCGCGCAATTACTATTGAATTATTTTCTGGTAGTTTTATGGCTTACGTTTCTGAAAGAACTTGCGTCCACATGAAAGATTCCTTTTGTTTTTCTTCCAACTCTCCAACAAAAAGTACTGTCAAGACCTCGGGCCGATTTTCTCCTAGTGCGGTCCTCGCGCTTGGTTAACAAGATATATCTGTACACCACAAACACCATACCTTTGCCTTCCAGTAGCAGTAAATCACACCTAACAACATCCTTCAATGTCTTCATTAATAGGTTTACCATCTGAGAAAACAATCAAACAAAATGACGATGATGATGACGATAATAGTCATAAGTTTATGGAGATTACTCTAGTTGCTGACAAAGACACAATACTCCACCACGGTGACGATACCGCGACACACTTGCTCATGCTCGCAAACTTGGTAAGTTTATGTCAATCGCCGTCCTGTTGGATTGCTGTTGACAAAACATACTGCGCTGACCACGAGATGGTGTGTTATCCGGAGGATAACGCTATCCACCATTTGAACATTAGAAGCCGAAAAAAAAAATAGCCTCATCGCTGGTTACTGAAGCCGGGCTGTTAACAAGAAGCTGAAAAAAAAAACACACCACCTCCAACAGAGCAAAATGTTTTCCAATTTTGTCAGCGTCACAATAAACAAAGATAAAACGACCTACATTTTGCCATCTGGCTGAGTAATAAAACATGCCTAGTTTTTTGATCTTCAGATATCTTTCGGTTCCTGCGGCAGGTTAAATGATGGTTCAAAAAATTTCAACCACGTTGTCAAAAATAGAGTGAGTTTCTGTTAACACTCATAAGTTCTCTCGAGCCCCAAGTCTTGATTTGTTTGTTTGTTTGTTTGTTTGTTTGTTTTTGCACAGTATATCGTTTTAGTTTAGAAATTGATCAAAGTCTCACCAAAGATGCCATGATATGCAGAAAACTGCAAAGTGAGTGCTCACGTCAACGCTGGTGGCATCTAAAATAAGACAACCCCGTGGGGTGTAAGTAATAAGACAACGCAATCGGGAAAGTGATATCGCATCATTCCCCGGGAAGTGAAATCGGGTCGGCTTTATCACATCGATAACCACGCTTAATCCATAATCCCACCGTCCCCGCCGNCCCCTCGTCAACGCCCCTCCATTTTTCTATTCAACAATTAGGTCATGAGATCGCAAAAGTTGACGAGGGCGCAGCCAAAGTAAACTATCAAGAATAGAAATCGAAAGGGGATAATCTTATTGTTTTAGTATAAATCTACTAGTCTCGTTCAAAACTTTATCTAAATGCTCTTTACAGATACTTCAAAATCACAAAGAAGTGTCTGCCAGTTTGTTAACAAGCTGACACTGCTTGGCTACGTAATGTCTACCACAGAATACATACTGAGTAGCGTAGCCAATCAGAGAACGGCATTCGGGATAGAACGCTAGTAGATTTATATCGAGAGGTGATTACACGATAGAAATCTTGAGCTCATAATCTAATAGTAAAATCGGTTACAGATTTTAGCACAATCCTTCTTATTGGGTGTAAACAAATATGATATCAGAGCCTTCACAGTGCTGTACAATGATGAGTAATCACGCTAATCTTGTGTTGCAGGTGAACGCTATGTATCATCATGATTCTATCGGCAAGAAGAAAATCACCATCTCAGTTGTGCAGGTTAAGCTTGTCAAAGATGGAGTAAGTCGAAATTTTAGTTGCTCCAGAAACAAAAATAAGACATAAATGGTGCAAACATATCTAGGGCAGTGTAACTTGTTGTATGTTACTAACGTCCTCCGTATTTCTTTTATTGTTGAACCTCTCATCTCAATATAACTCCTAACTGCTAGAATTTAAATCAATACCTTCAGGTCTGTGTTAGGACAGGCTTGTTTGGTTTTGCATTACTTTTGAAATTCTTTTTTTTTTTTAGCGTTAAATGGGCTAGGCCACGTAAACCCGAGATGTTCTGTTAGGTTCTGACAGAAATAATCAAATAGAATTTCGATAAGCTTTAAAGGAGACTCAAACATGGCTCATCATAATTTATACTAGCGACAAACGCCTACGGAATAAAATAGTGAAAGCCCTACAGGGCCATTGTATAACCTGTTGCCTACCACCTGCGCTCTCCAAAGTGATTGATACAGGCCACGTTCTACCACGCGTTAGGACAGATCGTTTAAAATAACTTTATTTAATTGCCCTCTTCATTTTAATTGCCCATTGTGTGTATTTTTACTTTCTGTTAAGCCTTTTTTATTGTAACAGTTCAAAGGGATGTTTTGAATCTTAGTTCTTAATAAAGACCATTATTATATAGCTGAATTCATTTTGTTTTTGTGTGCGGTGACGATTTCACGTTCAGTAGTACAATTCATCACTAGTTTGGATTTGGATCAGTGTTCAGAAACAAGAACAATTCTGACCTCCCAAACACCTGGTTTACAATTCGCTTTTTATTCCCAGCTTGACTATAATCAGAATTCTGGGAACCCAACAAAGCTTTCAGCTCTTAGGAACTGGGCGAAAAGTGTCAATATTCCAACATCAGATTCAAATCCCAATCACCCTGACGTCATAGCATTAATTTCCCGGTAAGATATATGTTAATTAACTGCTATAACCCAGGTGGCTTCTAGGCTCCCATAGGTTGTGCTGGCATAATCTTTGGCATTATTCGTCAATACGAGCATAATTTTCAACGATTTTCCAAAATTTCGTCCTCGGCAGCGAGTGCATACAGTGAGGTACATGTGTTTGCCAGTTTCTTATTTGTTGCATAGTTATTCTTACCAAATTTAAAGTAAAAAGTAATAGCATATTTTCTGCATTTTTCGCTATAATGAGCATAATTTACAAAAGCTAGCATAGTCATTAGCATAATTTTAGAAATATACGAGCACTACTTTTACGACCACAATCTATCGAGCCTAGTCGCTTCCTTCTTCTAAGACTGTGAAGATCTGAAGTTCTGCATATGTAAATATATGTATTTCCTAATCAAACATAAGGTGTAGTAAACCTCTTAAGCACTTTGAAATGTTTGAATTATTGCTGGATATGGGACTTTCTCTTCCCCACACCCTTCCCCCACCCCTCTCCCAACAGGTTTATGTTTGACAGCTTTTACCTTCATTTTTTCAATGTCTTGCTGTTATTTCTTTGATTATTTGCAAATTATTTCTTTGGTGACTTTTCACTGCTCCTTGCCTGTAAGTAATAAATCTATAGACCTGGCTGCCTGCCCTGTTTAACTCTCTAGTTATTTCAGGTAGCCAGGCCCATAACTATATTTTAAATATACAACCTTGTAAAAATATTTCTGTCAGTCTAAGGGGTAATAAAGTTTGTTGTTGTTGTGAAGTGTGTTTTGTGCTAATTTCGTCTTTTATTTTTTCTTACAGGGGAAGCATTGGAGGTAATTATTTTAGCTTCTGCTAAAACTGAAAATGTTTTAGAAGATTATTTAAGTTTCTTAGCAGGGCCTTCCCCTACCTGAACACAACAATCGTATGTTTATTTTCTTAATTTTCTTCTTTTAATTTCAGGCTTGGCAGATTACAATACAATATGTCACAAAAACAAAATGAGCTTCGCGGTCAATGCTGATGGCATGGGATTCGGAACTGCTTTTATTCTCGCTCATGAAACTGGACACACGTGAGTTAAAAACGGGAATAACAGTGTGAGGTCTTTGTGAATGTGCAGAGCTAGAAGTTGATACTGACATATATATCGAGACAATCTGTATCGTGTTTCATTAAACTCCTAATTTAACACTCCAGCTATTCCCAAAAGAGCATAAGTTGGGATAATAACTTAAATAACTCTAACATTTTTACCCCTTTGTATACCTTTGCCTTATAAGGCAATAGAGAACTTTCATGGTTTATTTCTTGATTTTTCTAGATGCCTTCCAGGGAGGATAAATGCTCCTTTGATCCCTTTAATTTAATTGTATTGCTTCCTTAATTTATGTGTCACTTAAGTTCGTTTTATTTAAGTAGAAAGTTACCTTGTTACCTCAAATTAATCCCAAAAATAGTCCTTGCGCCATTTAAGCTAATGATTAAGTTCCTTGTCCCTGTAATTAGAAAGCCTGGGAAACTTTCATTAGTAGCCGATTATATCTATCTGTATTCTCAAAAACATAGCCACAGAATTTGACATGTCACTGATAATCTTGATACAATTCTGTCTTAGAGCTAGCTTTCGACACGCAGGTCTCAAATAAAAGGAAATAACTGTCCTGTATGCCTTTCGAGGCCAGAAAGACTAAATTCACGTTTTTTTCTGTACAATTTAATTAAGAGTGTGAAAGGTGAATTGATCAACAAGACACGAGCTTAGGACAAAGAAAAAATCTGACTCCCGAAAGGAATCGAACCCATGATCTCACGAACACCGGGCGGGCGCTCTATCCACTGAACTACGAGAACTCATGAAGAGAAACTTGGTCATTTAACAGAGTTCATATGTGTTCATGAGCGTGTTTTCAACATGAAATGGAGGTCTAAATCAAAACAAACGTACACTTATCAAAGTCCTTGCGGATAGCTGATCTATAGCTTTCTAAAGGTCTGCATGGTCCTAAATGGACTGAACAAGAGCTTCCCGGACATCGAGAACTGACTAAACTTCAAGATTAAACTTCAAGCAAACTGGGCCATAAATCTGAACAACCGAAAACTCCACATGTTTTCGACGTCAATCATCGACCGGAAAACCACACATTGAATTCCTTCCCCGCTAGCGAATCACAGACAGCTCTGATTGTTAGCTATTCCGAAAACGTCTAAAATTGATAAAACAATGAAATATTACTCACATCAGCGCTCGATGATTCTGACTTGACTCTGTTCGTGGAAATGTTTTCCTCGTAAATAACAATGACCCGAATGTACTTGGTTTTCATCGAGTACCCTTTCCATCACTACAACATTTTTTTTTTCGAGGTCTTGGGCCAGATCAAAGTTCAGGCCAAATATCGCCAACAGCAGCTAGAAATATCTTTTCAGTTTGACGTCTAAGCCGTAATCAGTGTGGCAGCTCTTTGCTGTCCAAAGCAAGCACAGCATTATCGCCACATTGCAAATTGCTTAATTAAGGGGATAAACGGCGACCCGTTAAATCTCAGGGCCGTTTCATGTACGACAATGGACGCCGCTAACCACCAAATCGTTAGACTTGTACCTTCACTGGACTTTATGATGTTCCCGGGAAGTCTTAAATAAATGAACCATGCAACAAGCAGTTCTCTACATTTCAGGCTAGATAAGCTTTACAAACTACTGCGTTAAGGAAGCAGAAAAAATTCAACAAAAAATATTAGGTTACATGAATGAAGGGGTTCTATACGGGTATGTTTTTGGAAAATCAGTCAGACAAATTTCTGCGATTAGAGGACATTTACGTTGTGATTTTGAAGTGCCATATGTGATTCAATCCTGGTCTTAGTTATATGCTTTGTTTTTACTCGTAAGGCTTGGCTTGAACCATGATGGGGGCTCAGCGAACTGTCCAAATTATCAATATATCATGTCTACATCCGTACCTGGTGGAAAAAGGGCGGGAACGTGGTCTCCTTGCTCTAGGCAGAGGATTGAAGCTCTGTTAAGGTAACTAAAATGCTGTCGACTGTTTTTCGTTAATTTAACAAGCAATATAATATTATTTGACGCTAGGAGATGTGAATTGTAGTACATGCTCAGAAATCGGATTCAATACAGTGATTAAAAGAATGAAAAAAAGAAAAAAAATTTCAAAAAAAGAAAAATAGTATGAATAATAAATACAAACAACTTTCAATTTCTCATCACGTGCACACAGGAACTTTGGGGAATTTGGGAAAAAAATAAAGTACGTAAAAGACAAAAATTCGAAGCCAGGGCCTGTTGTGATCGCTGGTGCGCTAAATGTCTGACAAAAAGCATAACTTTCCGGTATTACAAGTATTACCGGATAACAAACAGGAATGTGCCTCGAAGTCATAGCTCCCTCTTACTAATTAAAACTAGTAACAGAGAAAAAAATATACAATTTTATTCAATCGTCCTTTGTTTAAATCTGATCATTTGATTTGATCCTCTGTTTCCATTTAATTTGCTAGAAGCGGTGCATCCAGTTGTTTTGACGAAGCACAGCTTAAGCGCAGACCTTCTTATATGAAGGTCTTTAAGAAAGATCTCCCAGGAAGGTTTATCACGGCAGATGAACAGTGTAAACAGCAATATGGAAAGGGAAACCGGCATTGTATACATAAGCAGGTAACAAAAACAAAATATAATTGGGTTTATATCGCATCAGGAAGAGCTTTGAAGTAACAAGGTTACGAATTTTATTACAGCTTGGTTTTCAGTAGTTCAAGAGTATAAAAACAAATACAGTAGAATCCCGGTAACTCTAACTCGGATAACTCGAATTCCCCGCTAACTAACTCGAACCAAGTCCCATTTTCCTTAGATTTGACTCCACTTTTCAGTCGTTTTTACTCGGTTAGCTCTAACTCGGATAACTCGAATTCCGCGCTAACTCGAACTAAATTTCGTTTCCCTTGATAAAAATTTAACCCAAGAAGTCGAATTCTGGTTCATGTAACTCACCAGGGATGTCATTCCATTAGCTTTTGTTGTCCTGTAGCCGGTAAAAACACTCAAAACTAACACCACAGCAATTTGATTTTAATCAGTGCAACCGACCGTTCACATATATAACAGTCATTTCCCGATGTTATGAGTCATACTGGATGCAGTGCCTTTAGCTGTCACGGTATACTGAAGCGCTGAAAAATCAGCAAACTATCAATTATTAGCATGGCAAGTTGGATATTCAATTGACCCCGATAACTCGAACCCCCGCCAACTCGAACTGTTTTTCGTTTCCCTCCAGAGTTCGAGTTACTGGGGTTCACCTTTAACTAAAGTCTACATACGAGCCAAGTGGCCCATCACGCCCGAGATTATCCCGGTTTCCTTAGCATGAAGTGACTTGGAGTATATCTACTCTCCCCTAGATGGAATGCTAGTCCATTGCAGGGTTTACTCCTCATCATTAAATTCGCCGTTACCTCTTTGTAACGGCGAATTACTGCGAGAGTAAAGTGTCTTGCTCAGAAACACAATGTCCCCGGCCAGGGCTAGAACCCGGACCGCTCGATCTGGTGTCGAGTGCACTAACCATGAGGCCACCGCTCTACAAGTCATTTCTTGCTATTCTTTTATTTATTTATGTCTTCGTTGTCTTTTTATTTTCAGTCTGACTGTGGGGCGTTGTTCTGTACAGCCAACGGATATTCGTGCTATAGCAAAGTTGCTCGTCCTCTTGATGGAACGTATTGTGCAACAAGACACGTAAGACTCTTTAAATGCTTTAAACATTTATAATTAACGTCCGCCATCAGTTAACTCCCCAACAACAAAGACAACAGAAATACTTACAGTTTTCAATTTACAACTATGTCTGAATGATTGCCATGGTGGAAAATTACCAAGTTCTCGTGTACAGGCAGCTTTAAATTCTCAGAGATCACGGTAATGTTTGTCTTAAAAATTTGTGTGCATCCTCCAGTCAGCAGTCTGCTTGGCATTGACTTTGTGCTTGACATAAGGTCGATCAGGGCGGACACCTCCTAAGCTAAAGAGGAAACAGGTGGCTTGTCAGATCTTACCTGATCTGTCATGACTGAACTTACTAGGACAGCTAGAAAAAGGCTTAGGAATATTCGTCTTACAAAGAGTTCACTGTCTACTAAGGAGATACATGGCCGCGGCAAGGTCTAACACAGTCACGTTTCTTTTACAGTGGTGCATAAGCGGTGAGTGTGTTGACGACGGGTCCCAGATAATAAATGGAGGATGGAGTAAATGGGGTTCCTACACTGCTTGTTCAAGAACATGTGGAGGTGGAATACAGTGGAGAACAAGAACTTGTACAAATCCACGGTATATCTGAAAACAGCTACAATGCACGTCCTTAAACGATGAAGGCTATTTTGTAATCACGTGATCCATCACAATTCTCTCGAATGGGACACCATTATACCCCTATCCTAAAAAGTAAATTATTATATCCAGGTTCCAGCCATCGAAAAGTGATATAAAACCCTTCCTCCTTTCCCCCGCCCCGCCTTTAAACTCCATGTTTCGATTATTTCATTGTTAGTTCGCTTGGGCTATTTTTATTAGCGGGTTGTAGTGAAGCACTGCTCTGAGCATAAAAGTAAAACCATTTCGAAATTGTGTTTTAATCATTTCTTATAAATGCTGGCATTCATCTGGGTCAATTGAACGGTCTTAGAATCTGCGACCATTAACTTGGAAAGAATACCAGTTTTCTGCATCAGTTGACACAATTATGCAGTTAGCTCATTCAATTTTATTGGACTTATTAGTCTTTTTGGTCTTAGGATTTCTTGTCAATTTTGAAGTCGTTAAAAGTAGAACATAGATGGAAACACTTATATCCAGCTATAGAAACACTCGAATAACTTGAGAGCTACTTACGCTAATAATAATTCTCTTTTGTTTCTTTAAGACCCCAAAGTGGAGGAGAAAATTGTAGAGGAAAGTCACAAGGATTTACTAGGATCTGCGAAAAAAAGGTGACAATACCTCACCAATTTCAGTTTTTTCTTTCAATCAATGATTTAAATACCAAAGATATGAAATCAATTAATTAATTGATCTATTCATGAGACTGTCTGTCGGCAAGTATCGATAAATCTAAGCCAAATAGTTGATAGGAATTACTTAGATACTGATAAATTTGACACAGAAACAACCGTTATAGTCATCTCTATAAAGTTCTACCAACGTTGGTAGGTGAATCAAGAAAACCAACAACAACAACAACAACAACCATTTATTTGTTCTCACAATTTATAAAATAATTACAATAAACATTAAATTA